GACCCCAAGATGTTCTGTAATGAGGGGACACAAGGAATAGGCAGAAGGAAAAGCACCTGTGAGAAAGGCAAGTTTTTCTGAGGATCAACTTGAAGATAACTTTCTCTTCCAAAAGCCAGGACATCTGAAGTCTTCTTCTCCCTGATAAGAGTAGAGACTCACAGGTCTCAATGCTGATTCTGAGACTGGCAAACCCTTTGCAGAGGTGTTACAGAAAACCCACACACCAGCCAGAGGTGAGTGTAGGCATTTCCTATTGTCGTGTGTGTTGTGTAACAGAAGTGTACAACGCCCATGAGGAAACCTTCCAGAACTTGTAAATTTTAAGCAATTCTGAGTAAAAGCTAAGACTGGTCTCTCAGGACAACTTGGATGATACTGGTACCTTCCCCGGAGACCAGCAAGTGTGCCTGCAAGGGGCATAGCACCTTCCTTTCAGGTTATTCATCTCCTTTATTCTTGCCGAGTTTCAAATGGGGAGGACATCCCCAAGGCTAAGAGGGAGATTGTTCTGAACCACAGAAGGATCAGGTCCTCACAGGCACCAGTGAAAGTTTCAACAAGGGTTTGTTTTGCCAAAAGGCAGCAGGGGCAGTAGGACCAAGCAGCATCTTGGTTCTGACTCCTGTGGGCTGAGGCAGGCGTGATTTGAAATATGAGGGCTTCCTGGAAGGGGTCTTCAGTACAGATGTGTGCTGCTCATTGCATAGCCCTTGGGCTCATTTACATCTGGGACCAGGTGCTTGGCATTTGGGGTGTGGAGCAATAGCTCCATGTGGAAAGGGGGCGGATTCACAAGATCATGGAGGTGTTAGGAAAGGGTTTTCCTTACATTTGGTTTATTTGTAGCACTACTGTCATCATTCTACAGATGAGGAAACACACACAGAGTAACACAGGAAAAATAGGTCTTGGGAAGTGGATCTCCCAGTTTTAGACATCTGTCCCCGAGCAACCCTTTTTCTCAGAACCCTGCACTAAGGGCACTCTTCCTCTCCAACTCCACCGACGCTCAACCCACACTCAGCTTCTGGGCTTCAAAGAAACATCCACACTTCACCCTTCCTTCCAACTATCACCTGCTCTGCATTCCAATCCTGCGCCCCCAGCTGCTTTCCAAGGTCATAGGTAATTATCTGATTTTTTAAAAATTTAAGTCTTACACAAGTAGAAATGTATAATTGAGCTTTAAAATTTCCTTTTCTTCTTGTCTTCCCTTTTCTTCTCTTTTTTGGTAAATTAATTGATAAACTCTATCAAGAGCCAGAAATCTAGATGAACAGATAGGTGCATAGATGCTATTGTGGAATGAATTATGTTCTCCAAAATTCATATGTGGAAGGCCTAGCCCTGGATGTGATAGTGTTTATAGATAGGACCTCAGTGAAGTACTATAGTTTAGGTCTAAACTATCCCCCCAAAGTCTCATTATTCCAAGGTAGGGCTTTTAAAAGATGAGTGGATTATGACATGCTAGGCTTATTAGTTGACTGATCTACTGATAAGTTCATAGCTGAACAGTCTGTCAGGAGGTGGGCCCTGGTTGGACGACACAGGTCACTGGGGTCATGACTTGGAAGGGTGGATTCTCCTCCCTAGTGCCTCCCTTCTCTCTGTTTCCTGGCTGCCCTTAGATGAGCAGCTTTCCTCTGCCAGGCCCTTCCACCATTGTTTCTGCCTTGGAGCCAGTAAACCATGGACTGAACCCACTGAAGCTGGGAGCCAAAACTTCTCTTCCTTTGTGTTATGAGCAACAGATATTTTGTCCTAGTGTCAAGAAGCTAATATGAGGTAATTAAACTTATATAAGGTGTTATGGCTTGTATTTAAATGTTCCCCCTCCAAAGCCTCATCAGTCATAAGTGGGGATTTTCAGAGGTGGCTGGATCTAGAGTATATGAGGCTGGGATGAAGTGTGTGATCCTGGGATCAAGGGTGATTACTAAATTAGTCCACTGATTGGTTTGGCATAGTTCTTTGTGTGGATAATGGGAAGGCCCACTCTGGGTGTGAGTACTACCCACCCTAAGGGTGGGTAGCCTGGGTAGGATATAAGGGACAGAAAAAAAGCCTGCTGTCTTACTTGCTGCTTCTTAGCTACTTTGCTGACTTCTGCCTGCCATGAACTGTTTCTCTTCTGCTATGCCACCCTGTCTTGGAGCCACCCAATTATGAACTGAAACCTCTATAAACTGTGAGCCAAAGAAACCTTTCCTCCTTTAACTTCGGGTGTTGGGTATTTTGTTTCAGCAGGAGAAGGTCATAAGGGTCTTTAATCTGGACTGTATCCTTATAGCAAGAGGAAGAGACCTAGAACCCTCTTCCTGTGTGCACACAGAGAAGGCGCCACTGAGGCCACTGCAAGAAGGTGGAGTCTGTGAGCCAGAAGACAGCCCTTGCTGAAGCAGCACTGGGAGCCCCTTGCTCTTGGACTTCTGGTTGCAGATCTGCAAGAAAGTGACCTTCTGTTGTCTAAGCTACCTGTGGCATTTTACTACAGCTTTCCAAGCAGATGAATGCAATGCTTTACTAGAATGCTATTTGTCTGTTACTTTTTCTCTCTCATTGCTGAGGAAAAATACCCGAGACCCAGCACACAAACACACCCAGAAACACAAACAATTCAAAACAAAACAAAAGCCCAGGTGCAATCAGGTTCTAGTTCAGCCTGTTCCTGAAAGTGTGGGTCTGACAATCATCTTACTCCTATAAGATTGCACTCTCTCCACAGACAGGGCGGCTCTCATCTATAATCCCAGCACTCTCTGGGAGCCTGAGGCAAAAGGATTGTAAACTGAAGCCTAGGCTGAGCAATTTAGTGACTTAGCAACACCCTGTTTAAAAAAAAAAAAAGGGCCAGGGATTTAGCTCAGTGGCACTGTGCCTGCCTCACAAGTGCAAGGTCCTATGTTTGATCCCTGGTACCAGAAAAAAAAAAAAAAAATTGAACTTCTTTTTTTTGTTTGTTTTTTGGTACTGGGGATCAAACTAGGGTCCTTGCGCCTGCAGAGCAGGCAGTGAAACCACTGAGCTAAATCTCCGGCCCTGAACTTCATTTTAAATGACTAGGTTCTTTCCCAAGAACCTCACAGCCTGAAAATTATGATTATACATAAATATTCTGGTAACACCAGTGGCTATAAATTATTGTACATCAGCCATCCGTAGCCTTTCTCAGAGAGAACTGTAGGTCTAACACACTAAAAAGAGCTGAAACCCCACCCAACAGCAGGGAAGCCATCTGAGTTTCGCATTTCTGTGCCTTTTGGAGCGTGTGTCAGCCTGCTAGGGGCCAGGAGAACCACGGTATAAGTCAGTCTTTTCCACGCAGCATCAACTTGAAAAGAAGAAAATAGACAGAAAGCAAGAAATGCAAAGTCTGCATGACATTTTAGGTTAAAACATGACACTGAGGAAAGTCCTATCTCCCGGGCCCAGCTTGGCTCATCCATTCATTCTGTCTACTTTCCCTGCCATTAGGGATATTTTGATGGAAAACTGTGAAGTACTGCAGTAGATAAATCTTAATGAGTAGATAATGTGAACAGAAGCTAATTTTGGATACGGTTTTGAGTGTATTCACAGAACGGATTGATAGAAAAATACTATGCGCAGCCACAGCTCCAGACAGGCCTGGCTGACAAGCGCTCAGCTGCCGGAGGAGGAGGAGGAGGCGAGGTGGAGATGGAAACACGGAGCACCGCTCTCCAGGAAGGCCCTTCCTTTGGTCTCAGTCTGACTGTAAGGCCTCCAGCCCCCTAACGAGAGGCAAACCTGTGAAAGGCTGGGCCAGTCCGCCTAGAAGGGTGGGAGATGCCCCACCCGGACGCTGAGCACTCCCGCTCCGGGCAGCAGAGCCTGCGCTGCCTAGAGGCCACGTGCCAAGGCTTGGTCCCCAGCCCGGGTGGTGAGCGGCGTGGCGGGAGAGTGGGGCGCAGCGGGGGGACGCTGGGTGCCCTGCGGGGCGCCCGCCCCCTTTCCTGGTGCGGGAGGGGCGCGCTGCGGTGCTCTGGCTGCGAGGCCCAAAGCCACAGCACCGTGACCAGGACTGAAGCCTCTGGCGCCCCGGGCCGAGCCACCCCGTCCTTGTGCGTCGGCGACCCCAGGTACCGTCAGGAGGACGGGGCAGCAGCGTGGCCCCTCCAGCCCTGGGCTCCGCTCCGCGCGTCACGCCGCGCTCTCAGCCCGGCCCGAACGCCGGGGCTTCTCGGTGGCAAGCGCAGACAGCTCGCAGAACCCCGGCCCGCAGGGACCTTATTTGCCGTGACGGGTCGCCCGGGCGTCGGGACGCACAAACGCCTTCGGAACGGGCAGCGCCTCACGGCCCGCTCGGCCTTTCTTCTCCGAACAACAGCCCGGCAGCCTCAGCGGGGTCCGGGGGCCCGGGCGCGGCGGGCAGCGCCACTCACTCCAGCCCGCGGTCCTCGTCCTCGCAGTCCGCGTCCTCGTCGGGTCCCGCCGCGCCCGCCCGCGCCCGCTTCCCCGCCTCGCCCGCCCGCGCCCGCTTCCCCGCCTCGCACTGCCGCGGGATCTCGCGCGACAAGGTCCAGCTCTCACCCCTGCGCTCCGCGGGCGCCGCGCACGCCCCGCCCCGCCCCTCCGCGCACGTCCCGCCCCGCCCCTTCGCGCACGTCCGTGCCCTGGGCGTGCAGCGTGTCGCGCACCCCGCAGCAGCGCGCAGGCGCAGTGCCAGGGGTGCCCGTCTAGGCAGAGGTGCAGGAGCCGCTGCAGCCCCGCCAGCGCCCGGAGCTCCAGGGCCGAGATCTCGCTGTTGCGCAGGTTGAGCACCTGGAGCTGCTTGAGGCCCCGCAGCTCCTGCTCGGCCACGTCCCGGACGGCGTTGCCTTTCAGCCCCAGCCGGGGCAGGGTCTCAGGGAGCCCGTGGAGGGGAGCAGATGAGCGGGACCGGCCGCCCACACCACCCCGGCCCGCTCGAGCGGCCACACGTCTGCAAATCAAGGAGACCCGCAAGCCTGACGTACAGGTGCCCGAGGTGACCGAAACCGCTGTCTAAATTCTTAAACACCTACTGCAGGAAAGGACCCGTTGCCATGAATCCGCCTCAAAATACCGCCCCCCAACGCACTTCCCGTCCATCTTGTCAATTTGGGAAGCGGTTCTGGAGTTCTCTTTTCCGGGACTCTTTAACCGTGCTGTTGTGGCCGGCCAGATGTCCTGGATCATTCAAAATGTTGACTTCTCGTGGTCGAGCTATTTTAAAAATTTAAACATTCGCGCATTTTCCCACCACACCTTGTACATACAATGGAATATTATTTAATGGTGTAAAGGAAAGAAGTTCCAAGATGTGCTACAGCACAGACAAACCCTGAGGATATTATACTGTGCACATGAAAGAAGCCAGAAATGAAAAGATGAGTACTATATAATTCCACTTCTGTGAACTTCCCAGTGTAGCTTAATTCACACCATGGAGTGGTAGTTGCCAGGGCAGGAGGGAGAGGAAATGGGGAGTAGTTGTTTGATAGGCAGGGTTTTCATTTTGTAAAAAGAAAGCGTTCTGGAGACTGGCTGTACCAATGTGAATATACTTAGCACTGCACTGACCGCTTAATGATTCACATGGTGGACTCCCCATTCGGTGTGTCTTACCACAGTTCTACATTACTGAGCCCTGGATGGTGAACACAGCATTGCACCAGGAGGGGCCCACTGTGAAATGTGGGACACCCGAACCATCACAGGAGACAACAGACCATAAAGGATTTTAACACCCTGAATTAATTAAGATCCGTGGGTCCATAGTAGCCCTTGGGAAAATCAGAGAAGGAAAAAGGGGAAGAAATAAATATAATGTTAATGGAAAAAATGGAATATTGGGCCGGGGATTTAGCTCAGTGGTTCCACCACCTGCCTCACAAGCTCAAGGACCCAAGTTCGATCCCCGGTACCAAAAAACAAACCCACAAAAAATGGAATACATTCTTGTGCAACTCCAGCTATGTAAAAGCAAGTCACATGTTCTAGTTGAACAATGAGAAGTAATGTCTATTTTTCAGCACGCTGTGTTTTCAACCTTGAACAGCTATTGCTTTATAATAAAGGGGGGGAAACTTTTTTAATTCTGTGGATATAAATTTGAAAAATGTTATGCTAATGCCTGTTGATAAAAATACAAAAGAATCACAGCAGTGAATCTGAAAATCTTTCTGTTATAGTCAACAACTTTGTAGTAAGGCCTTTTCTTGCTATGAACCATGAGAAGCTGGAAGCTTTTATAGGAAAAGAAAGGCCCTTCATGTTGAAATAGCATCCAGATGTTTTCTGCCACAGGGTGAAAGCTCTAGAAGTCCATGCATTTTAGTGTTCATTGCTGGAGTGATGAGAGAAAACAAACAAGGTTAGCCGTATTTTATGAAAATATTACTTTTTACTTATTATATTATTCTGATATGAATTTCATTTGAAAATGCTAGTATTTTAGGTTATTGGCACTTTGCCTAAAATTTTTTAACTAAACCATCCACTTTATATGTGTATCCATATACTAAACTATACAGTACCTAAACATACATAAATATAAATATTTATGCTTTTTGAGTAATCATGCATTGCTTAACGATGGTGGAAATTCTGGAAAATGCGTCATTAGCCAATTTTGGCCACCATGTGAATAACACAGCAGGTGCTTACACAAAACAAACAGCCACAGTATCACTGGATGACACGATCTCATGGGCCCACATGTGATGTGGAGTCAGCCCTTGCCGTAAACATTCTTGCTTGACACCTGGCTGCATTGTACAGCCTTCATTATTTAAAGTGTCTTCTCTTTAGATGGAATAAAATTTACCTAACAAAGGAGATTCATTTCCTGGGAAACCCAGTTCATACACTAACCACTTGAGCATTCAGTTCAGCTTGAAGTTAATCTTCAAGAGAAGAGAACTTTGTGCACAAACCAGCTAATATCCAAGAAGCTCTACAGAAAATCTCTTACCTATAGCTTTGTTTTGTTTCTTCCCCCAGGAAAGAAGGATAGAAAGCGACTCTAATTACAGCAGTGAGCAAGTTTCTACTCACCTGGCAGAGGACAGCAGAGGACAGCAGAGCACAGCTGAGGACAGAGCAGGGAGCCGAGGAGTTGCAAGGGCCCGGCTCACTAAGCTGGGCGGGCGGTCTAACCTTTACCACTGCACTTGCTAGTGTGTGGCTCAGTGTAAGTTTCTTTGCTTAAAGCTTCTGATTTTCTGCCTTACAGATGAAAGTGCTTGGGACCCAGAAGCCACATGACAAATGTTAGATAATGAAAATGAGTATGCCGAGTTTTCCTTTAAGCAATTACTCAGTTCTGCCTGTGTAGCCAAAATTTGTGCTTATTCTTCAGCATATCCTTCTCTTTCTTTCTTGTCTCTATGGAACTTAAAACCAAAATGACATCAGGAAACAGATCAATTTCCTGATTTGTACCTCTCTGACAGTCACTTACTGTTTTAATAAAACTTGTTAGTTGGGTCTGTATTAGTAAAGTAGCCCTGGTTTGAAGGCACACGTGCTGTCACATGATCGCTGCGTTTGGCCAGCAGATGGCCCTGTGCCTGAAGGTAAACTGCTGAGCCTGTGGGGAGCAGAGAGCTGTTCTGGATTAGAGTCCCCAGTGAGAGGACAGAGGAGAGACAGAGGAACTTGTGTCTGCCCAGGAGCTGCAGGTTGGAGAATGTGGAGAGAGGACGCCTTGCTTCCAGCATCCTAAGCAGCGCCATGTCTTGTCAATGGCAGAGTAAATGCCAGAGGGGAATAAAACTCCCTGGCTCTGAAATTACTGTGTTTAAATTCTGACTCACCATTTATTGCAAATATACTTTTGACCAAGTTTCTTATTTTCTCTAAGCCTTAAGGTCTCAATTGGTAAAATAATAGATAAAGCCTCTCATGTGGAGTAACAAGGAATAATGATTGCTTTGGAACTCAGTTCTAGATTAGCAAGCAATCAAGGAATGCAGTGAGCACAGTGAGGCAAATTTAGTGTGAGTACGCGTATACCAGGAGCCACTACAGCTGTACTGCTTTCTTGGTGATAGGTGGAATGGTGGAGGAGAGGTCAGGGAGGAAATCTGTAGAACTCCCTTTGGTGATAGGAGCTGCTTGCTTGTGTTTACAGTTTTTTGTTTTGTTTTTTGTTGGGTTTTTTTTGGTACCAGGGATTGACCTTGCGCTTTCGGGGCAGGCAGTGGAACCACTGAGCTAAATCCCCAGCCCTGTGTTCACAGTTTATTGTCAGAAAACTGAATTTCATAGCATCGATTCTTCTGTAAGAATAAGAAGTATGCAAATAAAGAGAAAAGACATACTGTCTCAAGCTGTCATATAAGTTTTAAAACTCAAATATATTGAGTAGCTATTGTTTTTATTCTTTTATAGGACGTTTTGTGTGTGTTTGTGTGTGTGTGTTTATTCTTTATGGGAGGAAAACCAGAGAAACTTTTCAGAGTCGTTCTCAGTTTCCAAGATAAAGAAAAGCTGTTGCACATAGATGCTGGCTGTGGGCACGCTAAAATCCCAAGGACTTTGCTGTCAGTGCTAGCCTTGCCTTGACCTTTGGCTGACCACAGTCACACTGTGCTCGGTTCAAGCGCATGGAAAAGCCCACCCGACCTCAGCTGTCCAGCTCACTGCCCCTCCCAGTGGTTCTCAACACTGGCTGCACAATAAATTCGTCCAAGGAGCTTTTTAAAATTGCTGACGTTTGGACCCCTGCCCTGAGGCATCTGGTCTAATTGGTCTGAGGTCAGCCTTTGTCTGCTTCTCCAGGTGGTTCTAACCTGAAGCCTGACTTGAAAACCACGACTGGCCTAGCTTGCAATTCCTCAACGTGCCATTGGGTAAAGGCATCCTGCTTCTGTGCTCACTTATAAAAACACAAAACTTTCCCCAGACTAAATAAGCTGTTTTTCGCTCATTAAATTTAGCAGGATTATTTAGCCCAGTGCTCTCTGAAGGTCACCTGAGTAGAAGAGCTAAGGACTGCAGTTTCTTCCTGGCTGCCGAGCCTGCTGTGATGTCGAGCCTGTCTATGATGTGGTCACTCCTTTTCCTGCTTGATGAGTTTATTTTACATACTACTGTTTTTCTTGCATTGAACATTAAGTAACAGAAAATAAGGCTCAAACATACGTGGTAAAAATGGTTTTAAAAACGAGTATTAGATCTTGAAATGGGGCAGGGTGGGCTTTCCTGAGAGCCTTTGTGCTGGTGGTCCTTTCTGTTTGGAGCCCCTCCCCCGGAAGTCTGTGGCCAAAGGGTCCAGCTTTGGAGGGTCACTCTGCTTAGCTTGTGTAAAATCGTGCTGCTGAGCCTCGGGTCCCCGTCCTTCAACATCTGACAGTCTAAGAAATGTAGACTTTACCTATCTCTTATATTGCTCATTGTCAGTCTTCCCGAGAGCATTAAGCTGTACCAAACAGGAAGTGTTATCTCTTATTACATGTATGTGTCCCAAGTACCTGTTAAAGTACTTGACATGTGGTAAGAGTTCAAAATGGTATTTGTTGAATTAAATTAATAATTGTAATGTGCATGCTTATGGATTAGAATAAATTGATTACTTTCAAACCACATTTAACATATACTTTTAAATACTTATTTCAGTTAAAAAAATAATTTTTTGATGATTTGCACTGGGCACAGATACCATACTGTAGAATAAAAGTTACTTTTTCAGTTAGAAAAAATGAATATCCATACAGATAATTTTTCCCTTTCTCATTCATAAAATAATTATAGTATTATAACTTAACAATGAAATTAGATAAACTGAATGCCATAAACTTCTACAGAAAAGTTGGTACATTACTTCTAAGAAATTTGATAATGCTAATAGGGCAAGAAGTTTTTGGGGTTTTTTTTGGTACCGGGGATCAAACTCGGGTCCTTGCGCTTGCGCAGCAGGTGGCGAAACCACTGAGCTAAATCCCCGGCCCAAGTTTTTTTTTTTTTTAATAGAGTGCTAAAAGGACAAAGAATTCTCTAACAGTACAATAAACTACATACCTGCAGTGTCTTTTAAAAGAGAACAATAGTTCCTTATTCCTTTACTGATTTTTATTTATCTACTTTAAAAGGTAGGGTATAAGCAAGGCATAGTGGTGCATACCTAATCACTGCACTCAGGAGCCTGAAAGAGGAGAATTGCTGAGTTCAAGGCCAGCCTGAACCACATAGTGAGACCCTGTCTCAAAAAGCCCAAGTAAATAAATAAAATGTAGGATATGAAATAAAGTTTCAATAAATAGGATCAATCAATGCAAACATGTACAACAGTTACAGGTTATAAATAGTTAAGCTAGTGTAGGACTCAGTTGAGGGGTAGAGATGCCACAGCTCTGTTTAAAATGTCTATCTCTAAACCCTCGTAATGTTTGCTAACTTTTCTGCATGTGCAGCATGTGGATGCGCTCCACTCTGTGGAACATCTGTACAGCATCCACAAATGACAGCACTCCCTTATCTCAGCAGTATGGACCCCAGCAGGTTCTGCTCCAGGGCCAGGTTGGACAGCTCTGAGCACCTCTGCAGGGCCCAGCTTCAAACAGGCTGAGGACGTTGTCCAGGATCAGGTGTTTCAGGTCTCGAAGGTCCTGGAAGTCCTGTGCCATCACTGCTGATCAGGTCACTGCTGCAGTCGAATTTCTGCAGCCTTGCTGGCAGTCTGAGGGGCAACACATGGAGCTGACTGCGGGACACCTCGAGAGTGTTTAAGTTGGCAAGGAACTGCACCCGGTCAATGGAGGAGAGGAAGTTCTCCGACAGGTACAGATGGGAAAGTTTCTCCAAGTGTTTCACGTCGCGAAACCTAACCACTTTGAGCCGATTTCTTTCCATCTTTAAAGATAGCAAGGATTTTGGTAGATTAACGGGAATTTCAGTCAGAAAGTTGCCACTGAAACTGAGGGACTGGAAAGACTGCAGAGCAGTAAAGAAGCTGCCTGGGGTGAGATGCAGTCTGTTACTCTCCACGCTCAGGTTCTTCAGGCAGGAGAGCGTGAGGGGCCCGGCTGCAGACTATGCAGTCACCGTCCAGGGCCAAGCTCTCCAAGCTGACGAGCAGGGAAAGCGGGGAGACACGGAGGAGATCAGGTTGTTCCGAAGCTCAAGCCCTGTTTCTTCAGCCCCTCGAAGTCTGATCCGTGCAGGGCACCTATCGCACTGTCGTTCAGTTCTAACACTCCGAGACTGGCTGGAAGAGCTCTGAGGACTCGTCTGAACTTATTTTCCCAAAGCTCTGAGGTCTTTAAAGTACTCAGAGTTTTGAAGGTGTCACTTTCTACAGACTCTGTTCCACTGGCCAATACAATGAAATCTTCCAGAGCCAACATTCCTGTGAGATTAGATTGCTGCAGAAAAAAGTAGGGTCCAGGAAGGGGAGGAAACACCTAAGATTGTTTTGAGCAAATACTATATGCGTTATATTCCAAGGCCAGTGAGATACTTCAGACTAGCTTCTATTCAAAATTATCTCTTGGAAAAGGGTTGAAACTCAGGTCCTAGGCATTTTTAATTTAGGGTTGCTAACATTAGTGTAAGATACTAAAGATAGTTTAAGCACTTTGATACACTATTGTGGGACACATAGTATTGGCCAATTCTTGCTACGTAGTCTATGGCTCAATAATTTACTTTTAGGCAAAAGTGCTTATAAACTACACAGTGATTCATGGATTAGAATTTTTTTTCTTGTATTATCTCATACTACCCAGAAATTGAACAGTCTTCAAATCTTTTACAACTATTTACCATTTCTAATTTTGGGTAACATTAGTAGGAATTTTTGCATTATTTGCATTTTTAAAATTACACATTACATTTTTTAAATGTTGGTACTTTAAAAAAATTAAAGGTAAAAAATTTAAATGTCCTAGATTCTACTATCACTAGGATATACTCCCTTGAAAAACGTTTTTAACTATTGCGTAATTTGAAGAATGAGGCTGCCTGCTTCCTGTCCCCAATCTGCAATTCGCCAATGCAAATTTCAGTGCCAGTTTCTTCTAGCCATAAAGAAAGAAATGTATTCATGGGTCTTTCTCCACTGCTTAGTAAACCATTCCTCAGAGCCAACATGACTCTTCTGTTAGGATTTAGGTAATCCCCAAGTCATGCTCACAAATCGCCCTGTCTCTCCTCATGCTGCAGCCCCCTTGTGGCACAGCCATCTCTTTCCATTGACGACATAGTCATCTGCATTTTGTAGGGGTAATCTTTGGACAAGAAGAACTATTCCAGGTTTTCTTAGGGTTGGTAAATCTTCCCAGAATTTTTAACCTGCTGTAGAATTCAATTAAGATAGAATTTTCAGTGTACAATTTTATATATCGCACTACCTACAGTTTCTAAGTATTTGATTTAATGATACAATTAATACCAATTTACAATACCAGGGTATGAGTAACACCTTCGAAGTGAGTTAATATGGCATCGAAATTTTATTAAAGGTATCTGTGTTCTGGAAGGACGTGTGAATCACAGCACATTTTAGGGCATCTAATATGTTACTCTATTAGAAGGATCTGAAATTAGCATTCCCGCGGATGGAGGTTTTTAATCATAATGGTTTTGGCAGTTTCCCTGGGTCACATATCACTGCTAATATGGGATATTTCAATTATTAATCAATTCTATTAATTACTACTAGTCTTAATAATGTTAGCATTTTATTTGTCCATCTACAATTATCTGCAGTTGCCAAGTGCTTCTTCATGTCGTCATCAGTCTCCTACTAATACAGCCAGTTTCCCATTAACAACAGTGGCTCCAGATGAGGAAACGAAGAACGAGGGGTGAAGAGGCCCTGTGATTCCAACAGGCCCATGAGACTCCAGAGTTCTTTCTTCCTTGACTACAACGTTTTCTATTGTATTTGCCCTACATTTAATACTTCTCAAAAAAGATTCAAGATCTGGACACAAATAAGAGTTTTTAAAAACAAAGACTTTAGAAATTATATAGTTCAAATCTCCCTGAAGTTTCAGTGATGAATTTGATGTCAAAACAGTTAAATGACCTGCCTACAACTCAGATCTTTAACTCACCTACATCCCATGCTGAAATGCACTTTTCAAGGCTTACCTTCTGTTCGAGTCAGAAGGGACTGCAGCCATAGAGCCCCTAGTAGCTAGCTGTTTTCTTTTATTAAGCATGGATCACGTTTTCTTTTGTCTTTGTCAGTCAATACAGATCAGTTTCAATTATTAATAAGTAAAATACCTGCCACTAAGTATTTACTGTGTTTAATCTTTACAAAGTTTTATACATAAGCACGGTTATTGCCTTTTTAGAAAGCAAAGAAAGGCTTATTAAAGTGAAATCACCTGTCCAATACATTCTGCTTCCCGGTGGAAAAGTTGGGCCCCCCAGGTTTATGCTATCTAGTGCATATCTGTTTAGCCTTGGTGTTGTAATATCCAATTAGCTGAAGAACAACATGTTCTGGTGCTGTCAACAGCAAGAGGAAGACATCCATTGATTTTCAGGTGGGTTTGCAAAGCTGGCAATGTGAAAAAGTCTGCCAGATCTGTTCCGTCATTTTCAGAGTCTCCGCAGGCCATACTCAGGAATGTGGGGAGAGATGCTCTTGTCCTTGGGTTAACCTTGGAGCTGCTAGCTGCTGGCAGCTTATGTGATGTTGTTTAAAACATACATCAAGTAAGGTAAAGTGGAACACTAGGTGAGTCCCTGCGGCTTTCCCACGAAAGGCTTTGCTTCTGGCTTCAATTAGGGGAAGGCCCTGCTCTAAGCAGCATACACCACTTGCAGCTCCTCAGAGGTCCAGTGTGCAACAGAGCTGAGAGACCCGCAGAGACGGCTTCCGACCTGTGTGACACGGCAGCACAGAGTTTGAAGACAATGCTGGATTTTTTTCTGATCATCAAAGTAATGTTTGTTTCCTATAAACAGTCCTAAATTTATGGAAAGAGAATAAAAATAATCTATAATCCCACAGCTTAGTGATAAACCCTGTTTATATATTTCTTACCCAGGAAAAACTGAATATAGCTTCTTCTCTTTCATCAATGATGTAAAGGAGAATTATTTTAATTTACTACCACAATAACCACATTTGTATTTGTCTGCTGCCTTCGAAGAGAATGAGTCATTTTGACTTGAAGCAGTTTGAATGACTGTCGTGAGATGAATTTAGTTATGCTTTGCATGTATGAACACAAAATCTGAACTGAAAGGTCTGCCTCAAAATACGAGTGATGTGGGTCACCCAGCAGCGTGTCTGTTGGTATCACAAGGAATGAATTGCTCCTCTGATCTTTCATTCAGCACAATCGAGCAGTTCATCATGACTTGCGAGCCAAGTGAGAGTAAGTGAACAGAAATAGAAAAGGATGGAGGTTTCTAAAGAACAAGGTTGAACTCTTAGCACACCATCAAAAAAAAAAAAAATAGAATGGATCGTGGACCTACATGTAAAAGCTCAAACTATAAAACTCTTAGGAGAAAATATAGGCATAAATTCTCACATCCTTGAATTTGGTAAAGGTATCTTATACGTGACCCCCAAAACACAGGGTGTACACTCACAAAAAAATTGAAATGAATCAAATTTAAA